TTTCTGTTCTCAGTTGGGTCTCTATGGTCTAGAAAAATGGAACACGAGCCTTTATTGTTTTGTGGGTCATTCCTCCCTCTATTAAAATTTACATAATTCTTGACGTCAAATTTCACATACAGAAGTTTATAGAGGAAAAACTACAACGTCCCTTTGTCCCCTCGTCCCGCCCTCCTGGCCCAGCGCTTTATACTTACCGCAGGTCTTTCTCTGTGCCTTTGTGCACATATATTTTACATGTAAAGATACACATAATTTTAGCTTTTGTTCCTGCACAGATGGGGTTCTGCTGTGTGCGTGTGTGCACATCTGCACATGGCCTTTCCGTGAGCAACCTGCCGCACCTTTCCATGTTGGTGAAAGTAGGCCTCCCTCTCTTGACAGCGACATCATATTCCAGACAGTGCATGCGCCATACATTATTAAACCATTCCTTTATTGATGGACGTTCATGTTGCCTCCAATTTTTGCTAGTAAATAAGTACAGCTTCAATAAGCATCTTGTATACACATTTGGGGGCATGTGAATATTTCAAGAGAAATGTGTGAACTAGTAAATTCATAGAAATGGAAAAATCCTTTATTCTGAGCCCCTTTTTCCTTCCACCTGGAATCCTATATGCAGGTGCTTTGCGATTTGTGTCTGACGTGAGACTCATCCCCCTGCCCACCCTAGTGTGGCACTGAGCCCAGAGACAGGCAGACAGTGGGCAGGTTTGATTAACACCCAGAAATTTCTCTTAAACTCTTGTCTCGAGCAGACAGGATTGGAATCGCTGGTTGACTCCAGCAGAGGGTGACTGGTCTGCGTGGGATGAGGAAGTCTCCTGCAGGTCCCGTTGGCAGTCATCCCTGCCCGCCTCCCAGCATAAATGGACCAGTTTCCCTGGCTGAGTGGCCTCGCACCTGTGTGCCAGGAGCTGGGGCTGGCCCAGGCAGACCTGTGCAGAATGCAATCAGCTCTTTATGTACTGGCTGAGGTAATCCCCTGCTCTTGCTTGAGGGGATCTGGGATTCCTGTGCAGGGTGCTGCAGGAGTCATTAGGGGCCTGCCCCTCTCTCCTCCCTCCACTGGCAGATTTTGCTGAGAGTTTTGTCTCCAGGCTGCTGGAAATCAGGCACCCTGGGTAGGCAGTTCATAGTGTACCTTGTCATGCTTTTGTTCATACCACGGACCCTGAGCATGTCATTGTTAGGATCTAAGCAGGTAATTTAGGAAGGTTCTTTGCTCCGTTGGTGGACATACACCATCAGTGATGGCGTTAAATGAAAGTAGCCCCTGCCCAGCCCAGACGTCCTGCACACAGGCCTGGGCAGCCGGAGCCTTTGTGGCCGCCACATTCCAAATTACATGGCAGTTTCCTATTTTGAATAAGGCGATTGTCTTTGTTAAATAATATTCTCTCTTCTGGAAACAGCCCTTGTTTGTTTCTGAAACTTAATGCATGAAAAACACTGAAGTGACAAAAGTCTAAGCTATTGTGTGGCGTTTTTTGTTTCCTTTAGTTCCCCGTTTAACTTTGTGCAGGATCTGATGACCGCACTGTCTGCTGAATCTCCTTTCTCCATGCCTCCCTTCCTTTGTCTGACCACTGGGCCTTCAGGCCCCCCCAGGAGAAGGCAGGTGGTCAGAGTGTGGGCTTCTGGCTTCATCTCCTGGCCAGTCCCAGCATGTGTTGCCCCTTCCCTGGGCTGATTGGTTGTCGATTATTGATGATTGGTGATCGGTGATCAGTGTTTGGTGATTGGTGATCAGTGATTGGGGCCAGCATGGGGCCTCCCTGCTTCCGTGCTCTCATTCACCCTTGGGCAGGAACAGCTATGCCCCTGCTGGAAGTTTCCTACTGTTAGAAGGGAGGGAGGTTGGCCAGTCTCAGGAATGCTGCCTCTGACTCCAAGGACCAGTGGTCACTAAATTAAATATTCTTTTCCCAGAGGGCAGAGGCAGAAACCAAAGGGCTGGATTGGGACTCTCTGGGCCCTGTCCACCCCCACCACCATTCTGGGCTCTGAGAATATGGAAGGCTGGCAGCCCCAAAGGTGTGAGTGTCAGAGTCTGCTTTGCAGGAGAAGTGGGGGGACCTGGAAGGACACATTGGAGACATAAGAGGCAGATGCCTTTTCATTCTGTGATCCTGCCCCCTGCATGGGTCCCTGTGTGCTAACAACATTCAGGTGTCTGCTGGCCAGCACCACACCATGCCTGTGCACTGGAGGGCAAGGAAGGCCAAGCCAGAGGAACATCTCCAGGGTGTGAAGGAGAGGTGGGCAGGTCTTGGATCTAAGTTCAGGCTAACAGAGGCTGAGGGTCGTTCCTTTCTTTCCAGCCCCTGTGGAAACCCAAATCCCAGGATTTATGGCTGCTTCTGCCGAGGCTGGTGGCTGTGCCAGTGGGGGCAGAGGCAGGAGCTGAGCCCGACACCAGCCAAGCTGCTCTCTGGTCCCCACAGCCGTCCTCACTGTCCACCCGAGTTCCTCCACTCTCCAGAGACTGTGGGGTCAGCTGAGAGTGTGGGATGGAAGTGCTCTGTAAACTAAGCCACGGTGCAAATGTGTTCATTTTAAGGAAATGGGAAAAAAGAGGAAGGGTCACTGTGCTAGATCCGTGCAGGGGAGCAAAGGTGAAATCCTTGCTTTGCTCCCACTTGCAATCACGGACGCAGAGTGGAGGGTCGGTGCTGGCCATTTAGTACCCAATGGGAGGTGGCAACAGTAGCTTCAAGGCACAGTCTGGGGCTGGCTGTCCACCCTGAGGCCAGCCTGGCAGTTCGGGGAGGCACAGCTTCTTGATGGCATCCTCTGCAGCACTGCCGGGTCCTTGTGGAGTCTGTAGGGCTGTATCTTAGGACAGGGTGTGCCACAGTCTCCTAATCTGAATTTATTTGTCCTAAACATGATCTTGCTAATCTCTATGGGCACCCTCTTGGGCTCATGTATGAGGTCCTGCAACATGTCATTGGTCACAGGGCTTGGGTCTCCCTGGTGGGATAATTCCAAAGCTGTGTGGACCGAGGCTTCCACCACAGAGGGCTTTCAGAGCAGGGAGGGGCTGTGGCCACTGTGGGAGGCCTGGCTCTCCCAACTGGCAGCAGAGGACACTCAGGCCTGGTTAGGTCACCAGGAGGGGAGTCCACAGCCATTTGCATCCCACAGGGAGATAAAGGGGATGCTGCAGACAGTCTCCCTTATGGGACATCTGCTGTGAGTTTTGAGACTACAGAGATGATCCGGGCAGGCTGCAGAATTTCTCCGTTTTCAGGGACTCTGTTCGTGTTGTCCTGAAGGAGAAACCGATCAAACTACCCCATCTTGTGTGAGTTTTGAATCCCCCTCTGTTGGGGATACTCATTACCCAGCCAGGAGGAGCCAGTTTCCAATATGGGAATGAATTAAGTGAGGATGTGCTTTTTGCTAAAGGGGAAACTGATTGCCTCTGGCTGGAGAGTCTCCGGTTCTTTCTCAGGGGAAAGGTGGGGGTGGTGTGTGAACTTTTATTGAGCATCTGCTATGTGCCAGATTCTATATTAAGCCCTTTAGTCTTAGGAGATCCATGAGATAGGTGCTGTTGTTCTGGAGAAGCAGACATAGACAGTTTAACTAACTAGTCTCAAGTTAAACACTAATGAGTAGGTGCCAGACTTCCAACCCAGGACTATCTGATCACAGAATCAGGGCGTTTCCACTCATGACTTCTCGTACTGTTAGCGCAGCCACCTGGGCACTGACCATTGACCTCTATGCTCTAGCAAGTTTCCATATGTGACCTGGAGCCCACTTTAAATGAACTTGGCAAAGAAGCTTGACTCCTGGTCAGTCATTACTTGTGACAGGTGAGAGGGAAGATCTGACTCAACAGTGTAGAGATCTCTCTCAACAGTGCGCCGTCAGGCTGATTTTCTCATTGTATTCCCCCTCCCCATAATCATGCAGTGTGGTTCAGGCAGTGTGGACTCCTGACCCAGGACCTAGGCCTGGAGGGATCTCAGGGCCTTCGAGTGGACAGACAGACAGCAGAAGACAGCCCTGGCAGCTCTCTCATAGTTGGTATATCTGTGGAGAAATTGCTTCCAGATACAGTGGCACTTTGTTGCTGAATTCTTGCTGGGTGATACATGGTGACAGTTCAGGGTATTGGCCTCACATCAGGTCAGCAGGGAAAGCAGTTGGGAAAACCGTCAGCCCTCCAGAAATGCAGCAGGTGGTGATTTTCGTGTTTTGGGTCTTGGCACAAGTTGCTCTTGAAATCATTGAACAAATAAAGGAACGGAAAACTAGGCAGTGGCCCAGAGCTGGAGACAGCGGTCAGTTGCCCTTAACAGAAAATCTCACGGCAGGTTTGGGGCACGGTCCAGCTGCCGAGTGTTCCGCATGTACTCACCATAGTTCAAGAGGTCTTCAAGACTGCAAACTGAAGGCAGCCTGAGACTCAGCTTCACACATGAATTTTGCAGAATGGTGAAAAGCACCGAGTCACATTTTAAGTGCAAATGTGGAAGAGGATTTGAAGTGCTTGCATTAAGACACCAAAGCAGGACACTTGTAACACAACAGTGCCAGGAACAGGTCAACCCTGACAATCTTTGGTGACGCAGATAAAACAGCTCCACTGTCCCCTGCTGAGAATGAGCTGCCATCAGCACTGCTGTGGCGCGGCTCTGTGGCCTGACGTTTCCTTGGCCCCTGTACTGTGTTGATTTCACACGCTGGCTCGGCCAGGCTCAGGAGGTCTTGAGAACACAGACATGAAAAGATCCAGAAAGGAAACACTGTTCCTTGCTCTGAGAACCACATGGATTTAGATTCTGGGGATGTTTTATTTTGTCTCGCAGAGTTCTGTTAAGGTTTGTTTCTTTTCTCCTTTCTTTGCAAAGACACTACAGAGCTAAAGCAAAACAGCTGAGCAAATCAGAATGCTAGAAAAGCATTTTGACTGAAACCTGTTTTTCCTAACGAAGTAATTTTTCTCCTCCATCTTTTTTGCTTGTTCATTTCTCCTGTAGATCATCTGATCATTGCCCTCGAAACCATGGATTTGCATCTCTTCGACTACTCGGAACCGGGGAACTTCTCCGACATCAGCTGGCCTTGCAACAGCAGCGACTGCATCGTGGTCGACACGGTGCAGTGCCCCATCATGCCCAACAAAAGCGTCCTGCTGTACACGCTCGCCTTCATTTACATTTTCATCTTCGTGATCGGCATGATTGCTAACTCTGTGGTGGTCTGGGTGAACATCCAGGCCAAGACCACGGGCTACGACACCCACTGCTACATCCTGAACCTGGCCATTGCCGACCTGTGGGTGGTCATCACCATTCCGGTCTGGGTGGTCAGCCTCGTGCAGCATAACCAGTGGCCCATGGGCGAGCTCACGTGCAAGGTCACGCACCTCATCTTCTCCATCAACCTCTTCGGCAGCATCTTCTTCCTCACGTGCATGAGTGTGGACCGCTACCTGTCCATCACGTGCTTCACCCACACCTCCAGCAGCAGGAAGAAGACGGTGCGCCGCATCGTCTGCGTCCTGGTGTGGCTGCTGGCCTTCTGTGTGTCCCTGCCCGACACCTACTACCTGAAGACCGTCACATCTGCTTCCAACAACGAGACCTACTGCCGGTCCTTCTATCCCGAGCACAGCATCAAGGAGTGGCTGATCGGCATGGAGCTGGTCTCTGTGGTCTTGGGCTTCGCCATCCCTTTCTCCATCATCGCCGTCTTCTACTTTCTGCTCGCCAGGGCCATCTCGGCATCAGGCGACCAGGAGAAGCACAGCAGCCGGAAGATCATCTTCTCCTACGTGGTGGTCTTCCTCGTCTGCTGGCTCCCCTACCACGTTGTGGTGCTCCTCGACATCTTCTCCATCCTGCACTACATCCCCTTCACCTGCCAGCTGGAGAACGTCCTCTTCACGGCACTGCATGTCACACAGTGTCTGTCGCTGGTGCACTGCTGCGTCAACCCCGTGCTTTATAGCTTCATCAACCGCAACTACAGGTACGAGCTGATGAAGGCCTTCATCTTTAAGTACTCGGCCAAAACAGGCCTCACCAAGCTCATCGATGCCTCCAGAGTCTCGGACACAGAGTACTCGGTTCTGGAGCAGAATGCCAAATGATCTGCCCTGCAGAGGCTCTGGGGCCAGGTGCTGGTTTTGAACAGGGCATTGGGCCACGTGGTTTTCGAGTAAAGGAAAGTGGCTTTGGGTCTTGATGCTTGAGCAGTGCAAAGAGGGGGATGTGGTTACTGTGTATCCTTTCTCTCTCTCATGCCTTGTGGCTCCTGCATTGTGGTGTGTCCTGACACTTTTGCAGCAGGCAGACCTGTCTTGTGCAGCTGGTGCTGTGTGTCAAAGCCAGCTTCAGGACCAGCTCGCCCGGATTTCTGTAAAATAGGACTTCCGATGTTCCCTGAATTTTTTTTATATGGTGATTTGTATTTAAATTTTAAGACTTTATTTTCTCATTATTGGTGTACCTTATAAATGTATTTGAAAGGTAAATATATTTTAAATATTGTTTGGGAGGTATCGTGCTGACATCTATTCAGAGGGTGGTAGTTTTAAGGTTAGTTTGACTTCAGCTTTGACTAAGGATGACATTAATTGTTAGCTGTTTTGAAATTTATATATATAAATATATAAATATATGCCAGTCTTGGCTGAAATGTTTTATTTACAATAGTTTTATGTCTGTGTGGTGTTTTGTACCAGTGCAAGATATGGAACGAAAACTGCACCTTAATGCAGTTTGGGACATTAATAGTATTGTAAAGCTACATTTAAAACAACACAAAACAAAACAAGACTGTTCCAGGCTGCAAATCTGTGCACAAAACGAACAGTCAAAGAGTTCTCTCAATTTGTAAGTTATTATTTTTAATAAAGATTTTTGTTTCCTAGAAATGCATCCGTGCCTTAGTTTTAAGAGCATGTTTTGGCATTTAGATTAAGTAGCATGGGTGATAATAATATGCAGGTATACATGACATGTCCAGGCCAACCAAATAAATATGGTAAAGAAGGGAGTGCTATCTCACAGCAAAACCCAAGGGATGAAATGATACAAAAGGAAAAACATTTGTGCACATTGAGTATTTTGTGTGTCTTTAAAATTTTTCAGGCAATGCTGTGTTTGAGGGAGGGGAGATGTTTGGGAGGGTGTAGCTACATGGCCGTCGAGAGCAAAGATGCATCTACTGGCCCCCCAGGATGTTTTGGGGCCCAGGACTTCTGTCTCCCTCTGTACTGTCCGTGTGCTTCCAGGGCCACATGTCACAGCGCCGTAGACCTTCTCTGTTAAGGGTCTGTGGTTTAAGTCCTGCCTTCCCTTTCTGTTGATGCCTCCAAGAGAAATTCTCTTCAAACTCTCCATTTAAAATATACAAACCACTTACCCTCTTGAGGCCATGCGAGGTGTGAATCCCCGGCCTGTGTGTTACCACATGAACTTCACTGCTGCTGGCGGTTTGAAAGGGCACCCTCAGGATGTCTGTTTTCTGCTGTGCCCTCACCAGCTCTACGTGGAGCTGCAAGAGTGGTGGTGACCTCAACAGGCAGGGCGTCTGGGCAGGAGCTCAGCAGGGTCGGCTCCCACCACTGCCCTTAGTACCTCCACCTCTGATGAGACCCGAATGCACAGAGAGCTCTTTGCCCACTCAAAGGCGGGCCCAAGCCAGACGCTCCACTCTCACCCGTGAACCTGCGGCTCCTACCATAGAGGAAAGCACCCCGTGCGTGTCAGCTCGTACGCGGACTCACAGCTGGCAGCCCTGTGGTCCCCAGGGGCTCATAGACTGGGACTGTTGCAGGAAGGCTACTGTTTCCTGCAAAGGGCTCCACGGCTTAGAGTTGTGGCACCAGGTCACAACTTTCCTTAGATATCTACTTGATACGGGCCTTGTTCCAAACAGGTTTCTGGTCTGACAACACAAACGTGGATAGTGGGATAACAGCATAACAGCAGGCAAAGATGTCGGGATGCAGGAAAAGTAAGGGGAGAGCAGCCACATGAAGTCAGGGGAAAGTCACCACCTAGACATGGGAGCTCCTTGACAACGAAGGCGGATCCCACCTTGCTCCCTGCCTTCTCATGGCCCAAGTTCAGAGATGTACTCTCCAAGCAATAAATTCAAGGTGGCAAGGGGGAGGGTGGGGACGTAAATCGCAGGCCACAAGCTCAGCTGTGCAATAGATGAAGCAATAAAAGATAATTCGACTTAATTTCTACTTTGAGGCTCCATCTCAGTCAATTCCACGCTGATGTCTGGGTGTCCACTGTCTGTCTGGTCCCCACACAGGTCTCTGGTGTCACCCCCATTAGGAACACTTGCCATGCAGGACCGTGGGGCTGCCCCAGAGCCCGTCTGCTTTCCTACCACCGCTGCTGCTTCCCACACTGAGTTATGAAGGGGGGCGGAGGAAGAGCAGATGCTGAACTGAACTGAGATCACAGGTGGCACCTGTGCAGGACCGTGGGGCTGCCCCAGAGCCCGTCTGCTTTCCTACCACCGCTGCTGCTTCCCACACTGCGTTATGAAGGGGGGCGGAGGAAGAGCAGATGCTGAACTGAACTGAGATCACAGGTGGCACCTTTTGCTTTGGGGGGATCTTCTCTCTCCCACAGGGCCCAGGGCTGCCACTGTCCCGGACCCTCAGCCGTCCCTGGGGCCTGCTGTCTCCATCATGGGGATGCCCCACGACTCCGCTGTCTGTTCCTTCTGTAAATCCCCTTCTTGGTCCTGCCTGGGCCTCAAAGACTTGCTGATTAGTCCGAGGTTTCCTCTGACTTGGCTGCAACACCCTTTCCAAGAGTAACAGGAATAATAGGGGCAGGTTGGGGGCACAGAAAGCCCAAGGGATGGCATTGGTTCATATTGAAAAGTGAATTCTGGCCCACTCTATGGGCGTGGACATGGAGGGGACAGTTGGATTTGTGTGCCAGGTTTGGATAAGGGGGTGGGCCCTGGGGGAAGAAGGGATGGGCAGAAGACCCCAGCCCTCCTCAAAGCCAGAGAACAGAGGGCCTGAAATTCTGTCATTTGAGGGTCAGTCTTTCGGCATTCTTTTTGATGGGCAGATCTTCAAAAAATGCCAGCCTCCTGAGGTGATAAGAAAGCTGCTCATGACTTGGCAAACGATGGCATTAAGACTGCAGAGAGGATGTCTGGAGCCCTAGGCATAGGGTGGGACCTCAGAGTTGGGGCAAAAGTGGCTTTTGCTTCCTTGATGGCACTTCCTGGAGCCCCCCTCACACCCCAGTGAGAGGGGAAATTTTCTCTCCATTTCCTCTCCATTCTGCCATTTGTAGGTGAAATGCCAGAGGTGGGCGGGCAGTGGGAGCCAATGGCAGCCTGCTGTCAGCACTAAATACTTTCCTTCTGGCTCAGCAGATAGGCAGCCCATGGGAATTATACCCTGGGTTCCCTGCGAGTGAAGGAGAAAACCAGTGCCACCAAAAATGCCAGAAGTAAAGTGCTCTGGGCACAGAGGAATGAAATCTATTCACTGGTTGATGGACTTTCCAGGAGTTTCACAGCAACTTGGGGTGAGACCCCAATGACATCTGTGTTCAGAGCTGGCAGAGCAGCAAGCAGTTTTAAAGCAAAGAGTAACAGGAATAATAGGGGCAGGTTGGGGGCACAGAAAGCCCAAGGGATGGCATTGGTTCATATTGAAAAGTGAATTCTGGCCCACTCTATGGGCGTGGACATACATGGAGGGGACAGTTGGATTTGTGTGCCAGGTTTGGATAAGGGGGTGGGCCCTGGGGGAAGAAGGGATGGGCAGAAGACCCCAGCCCTCCTCAAAGCCAGAGAACAGAGGGCCTGAAATTCTGTCATTTGAGGGTCAGTCTTTCGGCATTCTTTTTGATGGGCAGATCTTCAAAAAATGCCAGCCTCCTGAGTAGAGTAACAGGAATAATAGGGGCAGGTTGGGGGCACAGAAAGCCCAAGGGAGGGCATTGGTTCATATTGAAAAGTGAATTCTGGCCCACTCTATGGGCGTGGACATGGAGGGGACAGTTGGATTTGTGTGCCAGGTTTGGATAAGGGGGTGGGCCCTGGGGGAAGAAGGGATGGGCAGAAGACCCCAGCCCTCCTCAAAGCCAGAGAACAGAGGGCCTGAAATTCTGTCATTTGAGGGTCAGTCTTTCGGCATTCTTTTTGATGGGCAGATCTTCAAAAAATGCCAGCCTCCTGAGGTGATAAGAAAGCTGCTCATGACTTGGCAAACGATGGCATTAAGACTGCAGAGAGGATGTCTGGAGCCCTAGGCATAGGGTGGGACCTCAGAGTTGGGGCAAAAGTGGCTTTTGCTTCCTTGATGGCACTTCCTGGAGCCCCCCTCACACCCCAGTGAGAGGGGAAATTTTCTCTCCATTTCCTCTCCATTCTGCCATTTGTAGGTGAAATGCCAGAGGTGGGCGGGCAGTGGGAGCCAATGGCAGCCTGCTGTCAGCACTAAATACTTTCCTTCTGGCTCAGCAGATAGGCAGCCCATGGGAATTATACCCTGGGTTCCCTGCGAGTGAAGGAGAAAACCAGTGCCACCAAAAATGCCAGAAGTAAAGTGCTCTGGGCACAGAGGAATGAAATCTATTCACTGGTTGATGGACTTTCCAGGAGTTTCACAGCAACTTGGGGTGAGACCCCAATGACATCTGTGTTCAGAGCTGGCAGAGCAGCAAGCAGTTTTAAAGCACTGCAGCGGGACACTTCTTGGGGTCTCTCCAGAAGGCAACAGCTCAGGGGTATGGTCTATTTTATTGGAAATGTGGAAATTCTGCCTTGCTGGGCACTATGGGTTGAATTGTGCCCTTCCAAAAGTTTAATGTGTTGGAGGCTTGGCCCCACCATGACAGTGTTAAGACAGTGAAAGTCCTATTATGGTAATTGAAAGGCGAGGCCTTGAGGAAGTGATTAGATTGTAGGACCATGCAGTAGTGAATGGATTAATAATGGTGGTCAGGGGCGTGATTTGGGGGGCTTTAAAAGAAGAGCACATGAGAAGTTAGTCTCTCTCTGCTCCACCTCTTTCTGCCATGGGAGATCCCTGTGTTGCTGTAAAGCCACCACCAAAGAAGACCCTCACCAGATGTGTTTCCTGGACTTCAGACTTCCCAGCCTCTGAAACTGTGAGCAATAAATTTGTTTTCTTACAAACTACCCAGTTCCAGATATTTTGTTACAAGCAACAGAAGTGGACTATACACTGGGCTTCTCCTCCAAGGGCACTGGCTGTGAATGAGGGTGTGTGAGAGGCCCACCTAAGCTAAGCACAGGTGTCTAAGAACTCAAGGGAAAAACAGGGGACTGTGACTCTGCACTGAAAGGAGTGGCCGACGAGGAGAGCTGGGAAGGTTCTCGAAGTTCCCGCCTGGTGGTACGGGGTTTCACTCCTAAGCTGCAGGGGTGCCTCTGTGAGGACACATGCCCCCAAGAACTTTAAGGGCAATGGTTTCAGGTGGGCTAAATGCTTTCAAAGATCTATGGATTATAAAACACGTCCAGACCCTTTTCCCTAGTCTTGGGTCTCCCAAGAAAAGCTCCTTTATATTCCTGGTAGTGTCCATTTGTGCAGTGCCTGTGAAAATCCCAAAATCTTGATACTAAAGACGTTTGATGTGGAATGGTGCTAGTTTGAATAGGGCGTGATAAGAAATTAAATCACTTGCACACAGTTGGGATTGGCAGCAACCTGCGTGCTTGGCATGTGGCTGAGGACTCCTGCCTCCTAAGTCAGCTCGTCCTGCAGAGTCTGTGGATCTTATGCTGGTTCTCATGTACTCACAGACACATGCACACGCCTGGGCTCGCTACTGTTCATATATGTAATCAATGCATGCTCATGGGCACAGTTTCCACGGTCATATTTAGAACTGTCCTAGGGAGAGCCTGGG